GTATTATGTCTTAGTTTGACTTAGCCATTGTTCCAGTCCCATTCTTTCCAAAAAAATACATTCTTAAACAGTGTTTTGAGATCATTTCAACCACACATTTTTTCATAAAATAATCTTACACGTAAATCCAAAATTTTTACTATTTTTTAATCACACATTTCTCATCAATACACTATTCAAAAATTCATTTTCTCCCAAAAATGGGGCTCAAACAAGGTATTAACATAAAAACTTCCGATTCTATAATGAGCTTCCTAAGTTCTAATCAATAGTTTATTACCTAGCAGTCTCATCGGCTAAAACTATGTTATCAACATATATCAAGGGACCTAATCTTTGATACGTCTTGTAAGCTCAACAGTGCCTAAATAAAATAACTGACGTCTAAATGTCTGTGGTACTTCTACAGAGACTAATAGAGTACGTTCAATGTAAAAGAGAAACTGACCTGGCGAGATTGAACTGCTTCATTCACTTGGCGCCTTAAATCTTCAACGTGCCCCTAAAAGAATAAGCATAATTAAACCCAACATTTACAAATAAAACTACCTTGCATCATAGCATGAATCTAAAGATAATACTTCAGTCTGTCAACATGTGTTTAGGAACTCATCCCCTGTAACCTGTTTAGACATATTTAACTGAGGATTGTATGGCTTCTCATCACTACATAACTAAATGGTGAATACGGTCTGAAAATGGACTGATGTTACAAATAGCAAAAATAACAGCAAAATAGTAGCAATGTATACGGTCATCATGATTAGGCAATCCAAAGATGAGACTTAACCATGTCTACTAGTTTTGAGATCAGGTGACTCGTCTGAGGCATCGGTAAAGGAGGAACTACTGGACACTTCTTCATATATTTGAAAGCCAGGGACATTCAAAGTAATATCAGAAAACTTCCCTCCCATCCTTTCTCTCCCCAACACACTAGATTCTGCGGGTAGGAAGGCAATGGGAAGAAATGTTCCAGAAGACTAGCAATTCTTTCAACCAGACAGATGAAAAACACAACAGCATGCTGCTATATTAAAAGATTCTCGTCTGCATAGGCCATTTTTCAAGAGGATTAATAAACAAACCAACGGTTTTACTAAACTTAAAATCTGAAATCTTCTCTTCCACTATGTTATATAGCCCCTGTTTGGCAGAATTAAAATCGATTTTAATCTAAGTCAAAGTCAACAATTAATTTTAACGGCATATTTATGAGACCCACAACTTTTCAACCACACATTTCATCAACTTTCTTCAAAGTTTACTAAAAATCTAATTTTAATCTCTACCAAAAAGAGGCATAATTTTTTCTGTGACAGAATTGTCAAAATGTGTGAAATCTAAAAATCATTGACAAGCTACTCTCTCTCTCTCTCACGCACAAAATAATAGATAAACTTATGATGAGAAAGCAAGAGCCCCACTTCTATGCCGAATTCTGTATTCCAAAATATGATCCCAGCATAAGCTGCTAATTTAAGGAAGTAGGATGCTATACAAATAATTCATCGTTCAGATAAATTGATGGCTCTATAGAAATAGACAGTTCGTACCCCACATCCACTTTGAGGTTGATGTTTCGTAATACGGGCATTTGCCATGGCATACTGCATTCCCTTTTTCCCAATTCCCACCAGCAAGAAGAAGTGCCCCATGGCTTGCAGCGACTCATAATGTGCCCCAAAATGAAGAAAATGTATCATAAAAATTAGGTGCTGAATTCATGGCAATGGAGAAATTGTGCTTATTTCAGCTTAATGTAGATATTCATTGCATAATTAACGTACAATGGAAACTCCATCAGAAAGTGAATGCCTCAAAAACCAAATCAGAGACAGCACAAATAAATTGCAACCTTACCCAGGACATGCAATCATAAATTGCCAAGACAGAGTAGGTGCTCGCACCAGGGCAGTTGAGACACTTCTAACAAGGTTAGACACACGACAACAGACGTGAACAACTTGATTTCAATAGACAGGATCTTAACTCTTATCTTATAAATGGATATTGAAAGACAGAGATTAGATGAAAACATGTACTCAGCAAAATATCCAAATGTTCATCAATTGTTGCCAGAGTCACAAGCTGTGATATAACTCTCTGAGCCACCTGTGAGTTAATTGGCTGCCCAATGAAGATAGTACGATTAAGCCTAATCACGTGGTGCCATAACCCCAACAATTGTCAAATGCTAGGAAAAATGTCTACCGCGATCTTGAAGCACGGAGATCTTCTCCGTCAATTCGTGTCCGCTGTAAAATTTTTAATCACAATAATATTAATACGACAGTTATGTTGAAATTTCTAATGCATCACAAGGATAGAAGAGTGAACCTCTGATCGGAAGTAGAATGAAAATCCTGCCGGTCAAGCTTCAATGGCAATCTGTGTTTTACCTTACAATCCTGGTAAATGTCCCATATATCAGAAGATTCAGAATCCAAATTATCACAGCTCATTACAAATCATCATATAATTTACGCTAAACACAATCAATGCTTTTAAATGAAAAATATTGAAAGTATCAGAATACTTCATTAGTACAAAGCAAAGCATACCAAATTAGCTAAATAAGAAAAATACATACCAGCTTTTAATAGCACATTGTCAGCAAAATACATTATTCGAGCTGATGAAAGCCATAGCTAAAGAAAACACACATATGAGCTTTTAAATTAGTTTTCAGCTTAAATAAAATTATTTTAGATGGTGAAAGCCAAAAAACAAGCATTTATTTTTTTATTTTTTTCAATATGTTGATATAGAGTTACTTATCTTGACAGTAACGAATGATTTACTTTAAAAATAACCTATTCCAACATTGACCAACAAAAAATTATTCATTTGAAACTTATTCTAATTAAAAAAGAAATGCTCCTTACATTGAAAATGTTACCGTGATGTTGATCGACAAATAAATGTCAGGAACAAATATTAGAGAAAACCAACTCAATAATGAAATGAGAAAATCTAAATAAAAATGTTTAACACTATGAAATTATTGATATATTTTTTCTTTAGCTTCCGAATTCGTTTTAGTATTGTGACTAGGGATGGCAAAAATACCTGTCAAATTTGCTACCCGTGGGGACTTGCCTCGAATGGGGTGGGAATTACCCACTTAGTCGGGTAATCGGGGCTAGTACAAGGCGACGGGTAATGGGGTCCCTGCCCCGTTTATTTTTTTTTAAAGAATTCAATACTTTAAGCCCTTGTTTGATTCATATTATTTTTAAAATACATTTTTCTATTTCTTCTTTTCAATCACATAATTTTTAATAAAATAATATTATACTTAAATCCAAAACTTTTCTTTATTTTTTAACCACAAATTCTCTATCAATCTACTATTTTAAAGTGCATTATTAGAAAATAATGGAGCTCAAACAGGCCTTAATAAAAAAACTCCATGAAATTTCATTAATTCTAATAAAAGATGATAACTAAGATTAGTTAAGGAATACGATAAACAATAAAAACTTTAGTTTACCAAATATATTCAAATAATTTAACTTTTAAAAATAAATAAATTAATTTAAAATTTTAATAACTATATTATTGTCTCACTTGAATGAAAGTGAGCATTAAAATGAATTATCAAAAATTATAAAAAATAAAATAAAATTTTAAAGGATACGTAAACGGGGCAACCACGCCCCGCCTTAAACGGGTAATGGGGCGGGTTCGGGGCGGGGCCATTGCCATCCCTACTTGCGATATGTTGGGATTGGAAGATGAGGACAACATCTAGATGATGATGAAGAGGGAAAAATAAATAAAATGAAATCTTGATTATAAGAAATCAAGAGGCATTTGGGTGATCGAGAGAACTTCAAGAACCAAACGAAAAGGCACTAAATTTTGAAGTAGCTAAAAGATGTTGAACCAAAAGAAAAGGCAATTTGAAGGCAAAAGTTGAATGACGTAAAATTAAATAAGTAAAGAACTTTAAGGGAAATCAAGGAAATAGGAAATGTTGAATCTATTGAAGTACTGTTTTCTTTGTATTGTATGACTATGGAACACGTAATAGAAGCAAAAATAGAAACAAATACGTCTTTATATGGATGCTAGTCCTATAAAAATTGATTGTAATGTACAAAAAAATATTTTTTATGTAGTAGTTTGATATTCAAATTACTCGTATAACTTTATCTCTTTTCTTTTTTCGTGCTTATCATGTAAATGAAAGATGTACTCTTTTAGATTTTGTCCACCACATTCAGACTATTAGAACAAACCTTGTTGTTAACCTCGAGATTTTACTGTGTCTTATTGATTCTACGAGTAAAGTGATTTCAACATATGCAAAACAATATTAATAGAAAGATTTCATTCTTTAAATCTTCAATAAAAGAACTATAAAATGGTTCGTTTCGCATGGGCTTCACACGATCACCGACTTTTTTTATCGAACATTAGATATGAGTAGAAAAAGATGATTTACACGCTCAATGCGACACGACCCAAATAACCCATGTATATGTGCCCTCAATTTGCTTTAGTTATTTTAATATATAAATCATAAAACATTAGTTAGTATGAGACTAAATTATTTGTGGTTATAAAGCAGAAGCGCAACAAGGGGGAAGTAGAATGACATTTGTTGGGCCAATAATCTCCAATAAACTAGCAAAAAATAAGGCGTCAAATAAATAGAATCGTGGAATATTCAACAAATTAAATAATATTCGAAAATAACAATAAAATATTTCCACAAAAAAAGAAATAAAATGTGTGGTTGAGTTTTCATTTTTTGTAGGGACAGTATAGGGATGCAAAATAAAATTTTTGTTGAAACTTTTCTCATGCACATGCACTTCCTTTGAGAAAATCCTCCCTCCCCCTTCTCCTAAAGGTATTATTTCTCTTCTCTCCTCTCCTCTCCTCTCTCTACGTATATATCTTTCTCTCTAATTTTCTTGTTTCTTTCTGTTATGAATGGTAGAAACTTGATAGAAGGTTCACTGAATCTTGATCAAGGGGGAAACCGAATGCTCGTTAGGGAGGAGTCTATTCAATCATAAATTATATGTATTGTGGTGGTAATATAACTACCTTTAAATAATTTTTATCGACATGGCGGACCCACCTTCTGTCTCGTCGCCTCCACCTAATTCATCATCGTTTTCATCTCCACTGCATTCGTCGCCTCCACTTGATTCATCGTCCTCTTCACCTCCACCGCCTTCACCACCACCAAAGGATGCAGATTCCAAGTTGATTCAGACACCTATCTCAAGCCAAAGAAAAGACTCAGATGACGATTCATCTCGAAATCCGCCACCTCCACCTCCACCTCCACCGCCTCCGCCACCACCTCCCCCACCTCCTCCGCCACCTCATTCTGGATCACTTTCTCCTCCAAAGCACCGTTCACCACCACATCATTCACGATCCCATGATAATGACTCCTCCACTAATCAGAAAGCCATCATCGCCGGAGCAGCTGCTGGCGCTGGACTTTTGCTCCTTGTCATGATTGCATTCTTGTTGTCTTGTACCAAAAGGAAGAAACGAAAAGCGCCTGATATGCACTATTACAGTGACAATTCTCGTAGAAATGGTGGTAAGTTCTCAATAATAGAATTAAATTATAATTTATATATATTTAATTTTCCAATTATTAATAGCATCGTAGTTTGGCTAATAACGCAGGTCCTGGCTATTATAGCAGCGGACAACACGAAAACTGGCACAACGCTGGTCGAACTCCTGATCACGTAGTTAAAATGCCGGTGGCACTCAGCAGCGCCGGCGTGAGCTCCGAAATAGGTTGGGCAGTACCGCCGCCTCCACCACCACCAATGATGAGCAGTAGCGAATTGAGCTCCGCCGGCTTCTCTGGTCCACATGGACCTGCCTTGCCACCACCGCACCCTGCCGTCGCCCTTGGATTTAACCAAAGCAGCTTCACTTACGACGACTTGGCGGCAGCGACTGGCGGTTTTTCGCAGTCTAATTTGTTAGGACAAGGCGGATTTGGATATGTGCACAAGGGGATTTTACCGAATGGGAAGGAAATTGCGGTGAAGAGTCTGAAATCGAATAGCGGACAAGGGGAGAGGGAATTTCAGGCGGAGGTTGATATTATTAGCCGCGTCCACCACCGCCACCTGGTGTCGCTCGTTGGATATTGCATTGCCGAATCTCAGAGGATGCTGGTTTATGAATTTGTTGCCAATAATACTCTCGAATATCATCTTCATGGTATGATTAAATTATCTATACAAATCATAATATGCATAACGGTTTAAACTTTTAAACAAGTTGATTAATCTGAAAAAATAATGACAAATTATTCTTCTACATGAATGTCATTTGCCAATTTTTGCAGGATATGGTCGCCCAACTATGGATTGGCCGACAAGGCTTAAAATTGCAATAGGAGCGGCCAAAGGATTTGCTTATCTTCATGAAGACTGTGAATCTCTCCCCCTATACTTTCTTCCCCATTTTGGATTAATTTCCACCTAAGTTTGAATAATTTACTTACCAATGATTTTATAGGTCATCCTCGGATTATCCATCGAGACATTAAAGCTGCAAACATTCTTCTTGATTTCAATTTTGAAGCTAAGGTATTTTACACATGTTTTCATTGTCATGTACTCTCCCAGCATGGTTAGTAAAGTGGACCGAACAAGACTTGACAATATTAAGTCCTTGTTTGAAAGGGATTATTTTAAAATCAATTTTCGCCCACTTATTTTATGCCCCACATTCTCAAAAAAATAAGAAATAATTTTTCATGTATCCATTACTTTTCCCACTTTTTAACCCTAGCATTCTCCAAAAAAAGAATCATTTTCACACAAGCACTAAAGAAGAAAATAAGATAAATTTTGTTTAATATAGTATTCGGTCCTCATTGCTTAGCAAACGTATCATCCTAGTATTATATTAACTGGATTTAGTTTTTCGTTCTATTTATTTTGAAAGATAAATGAGAAAGATTCCATTTTGCAAACTTATAAATAGAAATAATAGTGGGTTGTATAAAATGTGTGGATAATAATGAGTAATAGTTATGAACGTGTTACTGAATTAATTGTATAGAAAGGAGGCTTACTTGACTTGTAATTGTACCTTTAATTTAGGTCGCTGACTTTGGATTGGCTAAGCTTTCTTCGGACAACAACACTCACGTTTCAACTCGAATCATGGGAACATTCGGGTAAGAATCTATTCTTCAACTTATCAGTGTATAAACAATTTGGCACTTAAGAGTTGTGCACAATTTGCGATTATCATCAGTTTGAATTTTTTGATAGGGTGATTATAAATTTACTAATGAGTTTGAGTTCAAATATACCCACCATCTTTGATCAAAATTTCATGAGTTAGGCCTTTGAATATAAAAGCCAAAATACAAATAAGTATGTTCCGTGACAGTTTAATCGCCTTCCTGCCTTGCAATATGCGCCATGCTTGGGGAGAGATTTTTGCTTATTTGAATAGCATAATGAGGAAATTATCTAATCTATCTGACTAGTTCTTGAATCGAGCCCTGAGCTCAAATTATTTCTAGCAATTCAGATGAGCTATTACTGAGCCTCCATGAATGTGAAATGCAGGTACCTAGCGCCTGAGTATGCAGCTAGCGGCAAGCTTACTGAAAAATCTGATGTCTACTCATTTGGAGTTATGCTCTTGGAACTAATAACTGGACGACGCCCTGTGGACATCAGGAGCGCCGATGATGAAAGCTTAGTTGATTGGGTATGCACATTCCTACATATTAATTACCGCTTTATTTGTTGATTAAATCTTTATTTTATGATCGTCATAGTAATTTTCTAGAACACTCCATATATGACAACTCGTTATTTATCATTGATATTGTTTGGCCGGGCTTTTAGCCGTTATAGAAGGGCCTAATTTGCATTGGAAATGTTGCTAATATTCAATTTGTCCCTTTTTTTTCCTGTTGTATGTTGGGCACGAATAGGCTAGACCGATACTAACGAGCGTCACTGAAGGAGGAAGCTATGAAGAATTGGTGGATCCACGCTTGAAGGATAACTATGACCCAGAAGAGATGCTACGCATGGTTGCCACTGCTGCTGCATGTATTAGGCATTCTGCCAGGAGACGCCCCAAAATGAGCCAGGTTAATAAAAGCTCTCACTATTGGAGATTACTTCAATTGTTCATAGATCTAAATGTCACATAAAATTCTCCACAACATACCATAGGAAATGGTATCGTAACGTGTTCTTTGGATATGCTAATATGAGTTTAAAGATATAAATTGTAGGCATGTGTAATATCCATTGCAGTGTTGTCCAATATCTAATAATGTTGTAATTTGGTATTTCTGCAGATTGAACGTGCTTTGGAAGGTGATGTCTCTTTAGATGACCTAAACGAGGGAGGGAGACATGGGAATAGTGCAATGTTTAGCTCTAGTTCTGAATATGATGGGGCTTCATATTCGGATTTGAAAAGGTTTAAAAAGGCAGGAATGTCAAGCCAAGAGTTCACTAGCAGTGAGCATGGACTCACAGGGGAGTTTGTCCATTCCGGCGGAAATTCACAGGAAATCCACCCTACCCGTAGCCGATTGCACAATACTTGAGCAACCTCTCACACTAATTGCGACTGAAGCGTTCTTGGGAATTTCCATTGAGCAAAAGTTCTCTCACAAATTTTGATTGAAATTCATGGACTGTTCGGTGCGAAGAACTGTACAATACTATCAAGTCCACTCTAGTGTCATGTACCAAAAGTGTCGTCCACTGCCATAGAGACCACGTGACAGATGTGCACCATAGACCTTTCACTACACTATTCTTATTTATAACCATGTATATGGAGTATATATAGAATATGTATTTGTTAATTGTGTAGGATTCATGCTTGACATGTCAAACTAGTTTTGTATATAATGGCTGTACTGAAATTTTCTCTATCCGTTAGAGAATTCAGACAACAAAATAGAAGTAATATAACTTTCTCTATGGTTTGGAAACAAAATTTGATTATTTATCACGAGTATGCTTTCCCATTACATGAATCAACTATTTAAACATTAAGCACTTTTGATAGAAGTTCGTTGTAAAAAATTAACTTATCCAAAAGACTTGAAAGTTGGAGCACAGATGAAAATAATCATTATATGTTTAATTATTATTCTCTATTCATTCTTGGTCAGGGTCCCTATTCTTGAATTTTTATGACTGTGGTTGTTATCCCTTCAAATTTAGAAAAAATTCGTTGGTCACACCGTCCTACGTGGTGTGACAGCCGAATGAGAAGCCACCACCTCATCGGGTGGCCCACCCTTTGGTGGCTCCCCAGAGGATAGTGCGATCGCCCCATTTTTCTCCTTCGAATTAAGTTGGTACAAATTCTCATAAATGCAAGTTGCATAGATAAGTGTTCAGAATCGCTCAATAATATGCATTTACGTATTTTTCTTTAATTTTACATTTTATATAGAGCGTATTGAGCTGCACATATTTTTAAAGATGGAGATAAGCTAGACATTCTTACAAAGACCATGGGAATATTACGAACTTACAAAATCTAGATTCTTATTGTGGCAATTGTACTATGGCAGTTCAATATTACAAAGAGACAAATCTAAGCTCATGTTTGGTGTGGATTAAAATTAGATTTTAATATAATTTGATAAAAACTGACGAAATGTGCGGCTGAAAAGTTGTGAATTTCATAAAATGTGTGATTAAAATTAATTATTAATTTTAACATGGAATTTTAATATGATTTTAATTTAAATAAAAAAGGAGCTAAACATTTTATTTTCTTTCTAAATATTATGTTTGTGAAATTAAAATGATTTAAAAGTAAAGATAAGCAATTTAAGAACAAGTTTCGTTTCACTTGGATGAAAAAATAGCTTTTTTAACTGTTCAATAATAGAATGCCACATGACATTCTATCAAAAAAGTTATCAATAGAATGTAGAGTGATGTTACAGTTACAGGAGCGTGATTCACAGGCCCCTGCCAGGGAAGACACAAGGTGGGCCCCACAATAATTTTTTTTTTAATACAAGTGGGCCCTTCCACACAGTGAGGAGCCTATAAGCACCCTGTGAAAGAATGCCCTGTACGCAGGGCATTCTCTTAGAATGTACACCAAGCATGGTTACTTTTTTAGGATTTTGCCATTTGTATTTTGTACGATACTTTTTTATTTCCTTGTTGACAGAATAGTGTGTTATCCAAAAATTATTGAATGAAAAATTAGTTTTTAAAAATGCCATGTGGCATTTTGTCAGAAAAGTTGTCAAATAAAATGTACAGCAATCATGATTGAATTTTTTAGGATTTTGCTATTTGTACATTATTTTTATCACATTATTAACAGAACAGTGTGTTGTGAATAATTTATTTGATGAAAAAAGCCCTTTTTTAAACTGTTCAATGATATAATTGTTGAAAAATAAATAATTTAGGTTTTAAATTTTCAAATTAATAATTTGTTGTTTCTATTTTAATTTCAATTTAATACAAATTAAATTAATAATATTGTAGTGTAACATACATATTATAACTTCTGGTATAAATGTGGTGGTTGTTGTAACTTGAAATAAGTTTCAACATTTCAAAATTAAAACTTATTAATTTTTAGTTTAACATACAATTAAAAGACCATAATTCATAAGATAACTTATATGTTTTCTCATTATTGTGGGGGTTAAAGTTTTACACTATATAAATGAGTCATTTCTATAATTTGAGAGAACCACTTGAAACATTATCATTTCTACAATTTTATATTATACTTTTGACATCTCGATAAAGGAATTTTCGCTTATCTCCACATGGTCGTGCCCATAGAAGGAGAGCAACATAGATTTTATCTTAGAATCGTGTAGTGCCGAAAAAACTCGCATGAAGGGGAGGCAACACGACTTTAGAACAGTGTCCTCGACGTGACTCCCTAGGCTTGCTTTCTTTCTAACCCTCTTTTTATTTTTATATTATTGCTGAATTATGTTTACGTCAATTAATTGATTATGCTAATTTATAAATAAATCTACATACAAATCACCCATTTTTTTCAATAATCTAAAGTCGTGTTAGTGATTTGTAAGTAGATAGTTCTTGATAGGTAAAGTCATTGCGTATGTTTTTCTTTTCTACTAAATTATAAATATTCTAAAACCTACAATCTCAGCTTATCACAAGATATGTGTATGTCTGTTGAGATTGAATATCCTGCGAGAGAAAGCACATGAAAAGGGGCATGTATTCTAGTCAAACTAAAAGTATATCCAAGTCATCTAGTGTGCAAACGTCAGAACCAACTTTATTTTTAAATTCATTTGCAAGTTTAAATTTTGCATGTTATTAGAAGTTAAGTTCTTTATACCTTGCTTTTCTTGTACAAGTAAAAAGAAATCACTAAAATTAAATTTCTCCAAAACGATTGATTTAACATTAAAGAGGGTGTTAATTGTTATTCCAAGAACCATGTTTCAATGATTAAATATTTTGTAAAAACTTTTGAATGTTCGTTTTGATTAGTTTGACATGTTAATCAGATGCAAGGTTTCAAAGATTTTGCTTCTTAATATTTACTTACACAAGTTGTGCACATATGTTTTCACATAAAGATTGTCTTTATTTACCATTTGATTACAAGATGTTGCTTACTTGATGACTACGAAAGGGAAATATATTTTCCAAATTGCAATGCTTGAAGTTGAAGGTAAAATTGTGTGATTTTTATGTAATCATTAATATTTGTCCATATACATGAATTTTGCAATTATTTTTCAATAACTAGGTAAATAATGACAGATAAGAGAAGTTTTATGTTTTAAATATTATATAAATATTGTAACTGACTATTAAGTGAGTACGATTATAATTAAAATTGTATACACTATAATTTGAAGATATTTAGATATTATCTTCATTGATCTTTATTTTGATAGGATTCACATATAACTATCATCATCACACAGTTAATTTCATTGTGGAAAAAAAAAAAAGAAAAAAAAAAGAAAAGAAGAAGTTGGGCAATAAATCTAGAGTGGTATGGCTTCATATGATTAGAAGAGTGACTCGATGGTTTTACACTAAAATCAACAAGTTGAAATACAAGCCTAGGAAATAAAATGGGAGCACCAATATTTAGATGTGACCACATGCATAAATTGATACATTCCAACGGCGTGGTAATGATAGTTCGAGCAGTTATGGTAATATTATTGTAACTTGCAAAAATTTTTAATTTTCATTTACATTTTTAATTTATTTAGGATTTAAATAGAAATTATTTTAAACAGTTGAAGTCAAAATACTTTTATTTTAAATTTTCTATTGAGGTGGTAAAGGGAGAAAGATATGCTAGTTTATGGAATTAGATTCAGTTATAATAATAATAATAATAATAATAATAATAATAATAATAATAATAATAATAATAATAAATGTGAAATTTAACGATGTATTATCAATTTTAATTACATTAATATTATGTTAGTCCATCGTTCTGATTGGCCACTTTAATCAATTAAACTAGTCATTAAAAAATTGATTTTTGGGCATATCGCAATTTTATATGTTCTTTGGGTCATATTCTATATTAGTTAGAATTCAACATTATTTTGTTCAATTGAAATAATAATTCTTTTGAGGTATATTTGGTTTACTATATTTGAAAATTAATTTATGGTTGATACAATGTTTAGTTAATTTGGAGTATAAAATTGCAAATATTTTGCATCTAAAATCTGTTTTGTGACTATGAAGGCATGTTTGCTTAGATAAATATTGTTAAACCATATTTGATACTTTATGGTTTCTAATGTTTTGTGATACATAAACAACATTGCGTTCGACTATATTGTCAAGTGGGAGAATTTGTAAATATTTACATTTGGACAAACAAAATCACTAAGCTCATAAAGGTCTTGTCAAATAATTTAAGTGAGCGACATCCTGTCCTATATGTATGAGGAAGGCTAGTTTCTAATGTGGCAAAGAAGTGCTACAAGTCGTATATCTTACAAAATGTGAGGGTATTAACTTATTTAATAGAGTTTCATTTCTTTGGTTAATGTTCGAAAAGAAGTTGGATGAATGAAATGTTCTACTTTTCAACCTATATAATTATTTATTTATTTATTGTGACACTACATTTTGTGAAAGTGTTTAAAAGTATTTACAGACATGGAAAATTTCAAAGAAACTCCACAATGGTGGATATCTTTGGAATATGGAGGAATTTAATATAGATATACCTTATATTTTTCCTAGTTGTAAACTAACTATTGATTAGTGCCAAAAAATGAATTTGAAGATTACAGGTGAAATGCAAGAGTTCAATGGATGCATTTTCCAAAACGTGTTACTAGTAGCCAATATCAAGATTTTTATTATAATTATATATGTGATATTAACATTTTGGAAATTCTTTATAGATGGCAGGTGAAGAAGAAAAACTTTGCAAATTAATGTACAAATTTATTGCCGAAGAGGGACATGAATATACGTAGTCTGAGATGGACATACATAAATCATCGAGAGGGGATGGGTTTAAACTCATAAGGGAGTGACATTCGAGAGTAACCCAACCTTTGTGATTGAAGATCCCATGAAGAAGGTTCAATGTGGTAAAAACAACATGTCCTGCGTGACTCGTAATAGCACTATATCATCTGTGCTCATCCCTATGATGATAGCGCTAATAATAATGTGATGTTAGGAATGATCTAATCCTGAATAAGTACCAAGGCGAGAATTCTCGAGAGGTGTGGATCACACGCACCCTTGGAGGACTTACCTATGTAAGAGTTGCCATGGAGGCCGTGGCTATGAGATTGGGCTATTCCCTAAAGACTCTTATTAGAATCAAGATTAGAGTACATGGCCATTTATAGCGCTACATGCTATGAACTGAGCCTAAATCGATATTGTGTGTAGAACAATTGAAATTTGGCCAAAAGGACCTAATTCAGGCTTAGTCTATTATAGCTCCCTCAAATGGAATTTGTT